CTTCATAAATTGTGAATTTTATGGCCCCAGGGTCAGGGGTTCTGGTGTTAGGGCGGGGCTCTATATTGATTATATAATGAGAATGCATTAAATCTTTGAAAATCTTCTTCTCTGCTCTCATTCAAGGGGAGATAATTGGGAATTTATGAAAATTTGGTGGCATATTATAAAAATCTTCTTCTCAAGAACCACTCTGCCAGGAAAGATGAAACTTATGGGGAAATATCCTCAGGTAGTGAAGATTCAAATTTGTTCAATGACAAAGCCATAATTCATCATATTTATATGGAAGCATGCTCAGGTAGTGTAGATTCAAGTTATTTCAAATCATGACCCCGGGGGTAGGGCGGGACCAAAATGGCCGACCAAAGTTTTTAAAGATATATCATGTATATATATAGGAAAATTCTTTAAAAATCATTTTCTAAAAAATAGCAAATCCATTGTCATGGGACTACTTTTGAATTTAAACTTTACAATAAAAAACTTTTTTCTACTTTTTCCTACCCTTAGTGCTCAGGTGAGCGATGTGGCCCATGGGCCTCTTGTCTTTTTTTAGCTCACCTGAGCCGTAGGCTCAAGTAAGCTTTTCTGATCACATTGTGTCCGTCGTCCGTCTGTAAACTTTTCACATTTTAGACTTCTTCTCAAGAACCACTTGGCCAATTTTGACCAAACTTGGTACAAAGCATCCTTGGGTAAAGGGGAATTCAAATTATTAGAATGAAGGGACATATCCCCTCGCAAGGGGAGATAATCAAGAAAAGACAAAAATAGGGTGGGTTCATTAAATAATCTTTTCTCAAGAACCACTGGGCAAGAAAAGCTGAAACTTATGTGGAAGCATCCTGGGTTAGTGTAGATTCTAAATTATTAAAATCATGACCCCCGGGGGTAGGGCGGGGCAACAATGGGGAATCCAAGTTTCACATAAAAATATATCGAAAAAATCTTTGAAAATCTTCTTCTCAAGGACCATTGAGCCAGAAAAGCTGAAACTTATGTGCACATGGAAGGATCCTGGGGTATTGTAGATTTAAAAATGTCTAAATTTTGATCAGTGGGGTAGGGTGGGGATGCATTATGTATTACAAGGGAGAAATCTGGTAGAGAATAGAATGGTCAAAGCTTCTCAGGTTAGCGATGTGGCCCGTGGGCCTCTTGTGCTTAAGGTAGAATGCCACACCAACTTTTTATTTTATAGGTCTTTGAGTTATCCTTTTAAAACAAGGGTTTCAGCATTAAAAGGTCGATATTAGCTCTTAATTATTTTATATGATTTTTTTTGTATTTTTTCAAAGAAAATGAAAAAAATTAATTATATCCAACTAAGATGTTTTCGAGTTAAAAGTTTGCTGTAAATGAATGTATCATATTAATATCTGATAAAATACGTAAAGAAAGGCTGGTTGGACTTTTTAATTTTTTTCATAAAAGAAATTTAAAAAATTAAAACACATTATTTGTGAATATTTTTTAAACCTATGGTTAAAATCACCATAATGCAAGTCACAACTGAGGACAACATGTTTGTCAATCATATTTTGAAAAGAAATTGAAACGAAATTGAGAAATTTTAGAGAAATTATTTTTTTTTTATATTTGGACCTAGTTCGATCAAAATTAAACTGATCCCGATCAAAATTAATAAAATGCTAATTTACTGCCTCTTCATGTATTTACAATGAAGAAATCTATTTTATTGTCAGGTTCATTAATGTTTTAATCCTTATTACACTTAATCAGACTAGTGTTCTTGGGGAAATGTAATTATTTCCAATAAATATACAATTATGGTTGGGATCGGTTTAATTTTGATCGGGATTGGCCAAAATTAAAAAAAATTAATTTCTCTAAAATTTGGCCATTTCGTTTCAATTTCTTTTATAAATATGATTAATAAACATGTTCTCCCCAGTTGTGACTGGTTTTAAGAAAATTTTAACCACAAATTTAAAAAATATTCACAAATTCTGTTTTTTATTTTTATAAATATTTCTTTATTTAAAAATTTTTAATATCTATACGTCTTTTCTACACATATTTTATTAGATATTAATGTGATGCATTCATTTACAGCGAAAATTTTATAAGAAATCGTCTTATTTTGATGGAAATAATTTTTTTCATCTTCTTTGAAAAAATACAAAAAAATTCATATAAAATAATTGAGTGCTAATGTCGGCCTTTCAAATCTGAAACAATTGTTTAAAAAGATTGACCCACAGATCTATAAAATAATATTTTGGTGTGGCATTCCTCCTTAAACCTGTGCTAAATTTTGATTTTGCATAGGAATAGTAAACTTTATTATTATTATTATCATTATGCTTGTCGCTATCAGTAGCAAAAAATATTGTTTTAATCAGTAAATAGAGCCAATCGCAAAATACCTAAAGGATTACATTGTTTGTGACGAGCTGACGCTTTGCTTGTCGAGAACTTTAAATTCTACGTCACATTCTCGCCACATCAAAGGACTTAACCGAGATCGCGTCACTCCCACGCTAAAGTCCGTCAGCTGCAACATACAGCTTGTTTTCGGGGTTCAAAAAATGGAGTAGACAGTCCCGATGTCGTTTTCTTCAATGTTACCTTCAAAGTTTAATTTTTTTTTTTTAACCTTGAATTAAAAAAAAAGTTTTTTTAAACCTTGAATTTAAAAATTTAAAGATTTTTTTCAGTCCATTACGAATATTTTAATTGGTCGATTATTTTATTCTATTATCGCAAAATTTACTTTTTTTCATATTTGCGAACAAGTATAAAAGTCGAGTAGTGCATGATTCATTGATCATTAGATTTATAAGTTACGCGTATCAACCCAAGTCATGCATGCTGAGATTGTTGCAATTTGGTACAAAATATACTGGTGAAAAATTGATACCCTCTTTATGCGTATATTCGCGAGAAAAGATAAAGAGGGAAGGCCTGGGAAGACGTGTCTATTTACCTTCAAATTTTATCGATTGAATTTCAATTTATTTTTTAGTTTTAACGAATGTTATATGTACAAGGTACACATTAATACCAAAACGACGGAAAATACATGTATCTAATTATCATGGGCGTCGGAAGCAAATTAAGGTGGGGGCTAAGGGTAAGATTTTTTTTTACACCTCCCAAAATAACCTGAGAAGCAAAAGAAAAAAAACAACAACAACAGACACAAACAAAAACAAGGGATGTGTATTTTCCAAACACAAAACTCCTATTTCGTGGGTATACCTACGCAGCAATGTTCAATGTCTATACTAAGTCTAACTTTGGAAAAGCCACCCCCCCTCCCCCCCCCCCCAACTCTAAAATGTGAAATGTCTCCCAATCAACTATGTTCCAGTTAACTTTTTGTTTTGTTTATTTCAAGAGTTATTTCCCGTAGTTTGGCAAGCGCCATATTTAACACGTGTAATTGTGACTTTGTGACTTTGTATCCCTACAGTGTAAGTAAACTTTCATTTGATATAATATTAAGATCTAAGAATTCATGTGTTAAAACGCAAACCTTGTAATGTCAAATGTTTCAGGAATTTCAATTATTATTTTTGCATTGTCAACATGACCTGGTTTTTTGTGTAAGGCTAAGCACGTGGTTTGTGTTCAGATCATTAATCTAGTCACTGTATGCTATACTCGAGACGTCTCGAGTATGTAAATTTTTAAGGGTAATTTGATGATTTCTTGCCGATTTATTACTACTTTCTTGTGTTTATTGTTTAGTATTAGATCTATGTTAAAAGTAAAAGTATGGAAACTCGGTTCGGTTATAAATGTTACATAATATAGTCAACATTTTATGTCAGTCATTTTGTATGTAATTTCTAATCACTTTTTATGTAATTTGCAGTCTTTCACTGCACCAATACTGAATAAAGGAGATGAAGCCTTCTCAATAACTGTTCCAGTATAGAATGGTTTATCGACTTACGATGTCATAAAAATTTGGGTGCGAGTGTCCACCAGGAAAATTTCGATCAAAGTACAGGTAAACAAATCAGAGTGTCATCAGTTTCTTGTTTATTTTGAGGGAAAACTTGGGTCGGCCATTTTGGCTCCACCCTAGCCCCGGGGGTCATAATTTGAACAAACTTGGATCTACACCACCTGAGGATGATTCCACATGAGTTTCATCTTTCCTGGCCCAGTGGTTCTGGAGAAGAAGATTTCTTAAGATTTTTCTATATATTCCTATGTAAAAATTGGGTCGGCCATTATGGCCCCATCCTTGCCCAGGGGGTCATGATTTGAACAAACTTGAATCACCAAAGTTTTACATAGAAATATATATCATTTAATTTCTATAAAATACTTAGTTCTGATTGGTTTAAAAATTCCTTTGATACCTGCATCAATAAAATCTAGAGTTCGCTTGCACTAAGCGGCTGGAACTACTTTCAATTGGCAGTCTCTACATTTATATTTCCCGCTTCCAGTATACTTCTTGAAGGAATAATTAAATACTTTTACTTTATAAATATTATCCTGAATTTCGAAACCTGTCTGTTATGTTCCTGACTTATTTTCTACTTTCGTTTCTTTTTGAATTATCCGCCTTTGCAAAACAAATCAAATCGTCTGCATAACGACAATACAGTTTTGGGAAAGAAGGAAAGAAATCGCCTATATCGGCATACTTTTGTTAAATGTTTGGATTTGAGATATCTGGTATGAACAATAGACTTTTGAAGAAACGTTTTTTATGCTACCAAAGAGAGGAAAACCGTTAATCTGTTAAATTTTGGGAAACGAATGATCGAGAAAAAACGACACTGCATTCATGAATGAGGACAGATTCTTTACTATAATTTTAAACAGTCGGCAGCAGACTCTTTCAGGTTTTACAGCATTGACAGGTTGTTGTGCGCATTGATGAAGTTTTCCGTCCAAATTTTTCTTTGATACATCCATCAAAGGAAAAAATATTACATTCATTTCTTAAAGGAAAATTCTTTAAAAATCTTCTTCTCAAGAATGACAGAGCCATAATTCATCAAATTTATATGGAAGCATCCAGTGAAGATTCAAGTTTGTTCAAATCATGACCCTCGGGAGTAGGGTGGGGCCAAAAAGGCTGACCAAAGATTTACATAGAAATATATAGGTAAAGTCTTTTAAAAATCTTCTTCTCAAGAATGACAGAGCCATAATTCATCAAATTTATTTGGAAGCATCCTCAGGTAGTGAAGATTGAAGTTTGTTCAAATCATGACCCCAGGGGGTAGGGCGGGGCCAAAATGGCCGACCAAAGTTTTACTTAGAAATATATAGGAAAGTTCTTTTAAAAATCTTCCTCTCAAGAATGACAAAGGCATAATTCATTATATTTATATGGAAGTATCCTCAGGTAGTGTAGATTCAAGTTTGTTCAAATCATGACTCCCGGGGGTAGGGCGGGGCCAAAATGGCCGACCAAAGTTTTACATAGAAATACAGTGGAGCCTCATTTATCCAGACGCTTTGGTTCCCAGTCAATTTGTCCGGATATGTGAAGCGTCCGGATACATGAACCACCAGTTAAACAAGACATAATAACATTTTGAAATTCTGTTCCGATGAAAAAGTGTCCGGATACTGAAGCATCCGGATATCTGAAGGTCCACTGTATATAGGAAAATTCTATAAAAATCTTCTTCTCAATGATGACAAACCCATAATTCATCATATTTATATGGAAGCATCTTCAGTTAGTGGAGATTCAAGTTTGTTCAAATCATGACCCCCGGGTGTAGGGTGGGGCCAAAATGGCCGACCAAAGTTTTACATAGAAATATATAGGAAAATTCTTTGAAGAATAGCAAATCCATGATTGATCATGAGATTACTTTTGGATTTTAACTTTTCAATAATAAACCAATTTCTACTTTTTCACAGCTACAGTACTCAGGTGAGCGATGTGGCCCATGGGCCTCTTGTTCCTATATATTCCTATGTAAAGCTTGGGTCGACCATTTTGGTACCACCTTTGCCCCGGGGGTCATAATTTTAACAAACTTGAATCTACACTACCTGAGGATGATTCCACATGAGTTCAAATTCAACTTTTCATGTTGCATTACTGATATACCCTTGGTGGGGCATTCATGTTCTATGGACATATTTCTACTGGTCTCTTTTGTGAATAATGATGCATTTACGAAGAAGAATTTCCATTCTTTTTCTGAGGTTGACTCATCTAGTAAAGTTTCCCACTTTTCTTTTTATATGCCCGGGCCCCAAGACCATAACCTGAGAATAGACTTAAAAATCAGAGTAATTTTTTAAAGAAAGTTCAAAATGAAACAAAATTTTCAAGTTATGTTTATATCAAAATATTTACAAAACTTGCAATTTTTTAACCTTGTTCATTAAATAATAATGAAAATATTCAAAATCAAAATTTGACTTAAGTCTATTCTCAGTTTATGGTTTTGGGCCCTGATCTGAGGTGTGTATTGCTTTTGTCCTGTCTGTTGGCAACTTTAACCTCTGCCTTAACTTTTGAACCATGAGAGAGACTTCATATTTAATATGCATAGTCCTCTAATTTATGTCTTTCAAAAGACACCAAGGCCAATGACTTTGACCTTGACTGTGACTTATATGCTAAAATAGCCTATTTGAACATTAGCTATGACTTTTGATTCATTAAAGATAGGGACATCATATTTTGAATGCTTTCTCCACTAATTAAGTGATCAAATGACACCAAGGTCAATGACCTTGTGACCTTACTGTGACTTTATCGCTTTAAAAACCATTTTGAACTTTTGCCATACATTTTGAACCATTAAAGATAAAGACTTCGTATATGATACTGTAAAATCACATATTTTCGTGGGGTCACATTTTCGTGGTTTGAGGAAAAATTGTTGGTTCGTGGGGATTTGATTTCGTGGATGAAGAACTTTTTAGTAGTTGTGCATATGAAAATTAACATTTCGTGGTGGTCATAAATTCGTGGGTCTCTTCATACCACGAAAACAACGAAAATTAAACCCCCACGAAAATTAGTGATTTCACAGTATGCATACTCCACTAATTAAGCTCTTTCAAATGACACCAATTCAATGACCTTGTGACCTTGACCTAGATGCTAAAAATAAATTTTTCGAATTTGTAAAAATGTCGCCAGGTGCAAAGTGTTTCACAAACAAGTCTTGTTTTGAAGGAGTTTTAATATTTTCTGTAGAATTTTATAATACATATAAAAACCAAAAAATATATTCAAAATCAAATCATTTTTTTTTCAGTACTTTGTGACAGTGGGAAGATAGAATTTAAATAATGGACATGGCACAATATTACTGCATCAGAGATCAATCCAGGTTTACTTATAATTTGAAGAAAAACAGTCAAGTGGAGCTACATATGTCACTGCCTTAACAATATGCCAGCTTATATAACCAAGCAAGCACAGTGACCAGTTGTACCTATGATGTTGGAAGAGATCCTTAAAACCTTCCAGTACACTCATCACTACCTGCAAAGAAATAAAAATTCAAATGACATGTATCAACACTTTTGTACTTCATCTGGCTTGTATTTTCAGTAATCATTAGCCTTTATACTGTTGCTTCCTTCAAACAAAATTGCATAAGTACTAACTTGCTGGTGTAAAATGTTTGAAACAGTTTGCTTGTCCCAAAGGAAATTCTCTGCCAATTAGCAGTGCATGAGCAATTGATTGATGTCACAGTTCCACTGGCAAAATATTTGTAGCTGAATGGTGCCATATCAAACACTTTTAACAAGAACTTGGAAACATCCTAGAAGTGAGAGCATCTACAAGAAATTAAGTGAATGCTTTCTTGAATGTTAACAATGTTATAAAATGCTTGTGTACATCTTATATATATATATATATATATACAACTAATTACTCATGTAACTACCAAATATACAAAAATTAAACTTCTTTAAATTTGTTCTTGATGTTTATTTATAGTGTATTTAAATAAGTATCCAATATTTGTCTTGTTATACTGAAGGATTGTTAAGAAAATGTCGTTCGTTGAAACAAATGTGCAAACAAGTTACATTCTGCACAGATAGCTATTTTTGTGGAGAACCTATCAACATATATTTTCAATCGTTGGGATGTAATGTTAGGCAAACAGTAGGAGAATTATACCTGTTAACAAATGTATTTTATCAATCAAATTTCAAAAAGATGATTTAATAAGAAAGCAATGACAAATTTAACTAGAATTATGGTCCATTGATTTTATCACCATGGTGTGTGAGCTTTTGTGAACTTGATACTGAACTAGTAAGTTTGAAATATTGAAGTAAAGAAAAGTGCAGCCCAAAAATTTATCCTGTACCTGATTTAAAATGAGTCCCAACATCAATACTTGGAAGTTGTCAGTTGCCACACTCTTCATGAGTATAAGAATTATTGGATATGCCTCAGTAACAGATCTACACTGGTACATGTAAATGAATGGCACATTCAGTCAAAGCATTGTCCCTTTTTCGGTACCTCCTGGATCCCTGTAAAATATATGATGATAAAAGTAGATAAATGTTCCATCATAGAATGATGAATGTCCTATGGACCCAGTCAGGGCCTGTTGGAAGACACCGTTTGATTGTTCTAGCTGTGTCTGTCTCTTAATTGTAAGAGTACTAGTATTTTGGAAGGTGGTCATAAGGCTTTACAGTTAATATAAATTGATTGTACATGTGTGTTGTTTAATGTCTTACAATTAATATTGAAAATGAGTAGATACATCCCTGTGTAAATTAAAAAAGTAATGTTGGACATTTTTATTTCTGAACTATTAACAAATTAAAGAAAAACATTCTATCAGGATTATGTTTAATCGACCCTGTATTTCCGTGATTGACAAATTTGGTCACATGCATTTCCTATTTGTTTTACTTAAATTTGCATTCTATATCCCAACTTCAGCTGCCCCGTGAGCTAAATCCAGGCACGTAGCAACAAGAGGGGGGGGGGGATGCGCAACAATACATCTTCTATGGAAAATATACATAGAATGGTTTGTCCCCCTCCCCCCCCCACTTCTTACCACAGTATAGAAAAACAGTATAGTGATATCATGGAAATTTATAGTATTTTATGCTATAAAAATTGAAAGGAATTTGGTCTTGAACAAAATTGGCCACTTACACACACACCCTCCTGAAATAAGAATATCAAGTTTGGTCAACGTTTACTGGTAAGTATAAAAAACAAATCTCTCTGGTTGCCCCCCCCCCCTGACCCCGCCCCCTTTCAAAAAAGATGCTATGTGCCTGAAATCAATATATGGAACCAGTTAATCTTTGGAGAACAATTTAGTTTGAAAACAATTTCAACTTACTTTTTACTCTATAAAATGCTTGTTACCCATTTGGAATAGCTTGTATGTACTGTATGTACGTAATTAACTAAAACAATAAAGCGATTAAGCGTTGTTTACCTATCTCAATCAATCCATTTTCTCCTTCTTCTTTTTCGATAATCAAAAAACGAACGATTTAACAAACATTTCTCTTTTCCACAGAAAAATCATTTCACATCAACAGTACTAGTGATTTGAAACAATTAAAATACTACACAATCCAAGAATGACCAGGACGAATACTTAAAATACAGCAATTTAAATTGATCATACATGTACATCATTTCATATCGCATGTATACCGTGCCATGTACACAAATGGTAAATGCTATAAAATTAAATTTTTACGGCTTTAATTTATTATGGACTCTAAAAAAAAATGCATAATTATAATATAAATAATGCTCTTTTTAAACTGTTCAATAAAATTTGTGTTTTCTGTCCCCTATTGTGAACCCGTTAAACGTCGGCGATGTGTATTGCAGCTGACCGACTTTAGCGTGGGAGAGACGCTATCTCGGCTACTTCCTTTGATGTGGCGAGAATGTGACGTAGAATTTAAAGTTCTCGACAGCAAAGCGTCAGCTCGTCACAAACAATGTAATCCTTTAGGTATTTTGCGATTGGCTCTAATGATCCTTATACTTACACAACTTGCAGACGTCAAAGTTTAACAATTTTAACTCGGCTTTTAACAATTATCAATCTATCAATCACAACTTGCAGACGTCAAAGTTTACAATAGGAATATTGCGAATCCCGACCTCGATCATTTGTTTTGAAATCTCCGATAGGTGGCGCGACCGCTATCCTTCAGATACGAAGGATAAAATATATCCTCCAAAAACGGAGGCCGCCCAGACCTGTTGGCAACACATGAGGAAAGCATATGTACCTGAATGTTGCCTCCAGCAAGCTCAAGCCTGACCCAGACAACGAACCTACTGTATGCAATGTAACAAAATGCTATTTCATATTTCATTATTGATTTTACTAGTATTGCTCAGTTTGTTATAAGCACTGCTAATTAGTAAATTTTTTTTTTTTCAAAATGCAAATTTGAATGTATCATTAATTATAGTCTTGAGTTTAATGAAGCAGTGATTGAATTCTTTTTTTGCACACTGAAGCATGGAAGATAAGCAGTAAACTAATTTTTTAATTGTCATGAAACTTAAATAGTTAAACATGTATGTACAGGTTTGATTCTTATCCGTAAACTGACTCATTATGATTCAGAGGCCCTGGAGCAAATATATCCTAAGAAAAAAAGATTAGAACAAGTTGAAAGGGAATTTATTCGGTTCTTTATTTTTATGGATTTTCTTATGAAAACATATAGTCATTTAAAAAAAAAACGTATTCGAATAAGCAATTTTTGGCGATAGATTTAATTTCATTTGATAATTTAAGAGCTATCTTAAAAGTATATTGATAGAGCGTATGCAGTTTCCTTTTATATAAAATAATATTATACTATGAGAAAACTACATATATAGGGGCGCCAGTTTTGTCGACGTTTCCTTCCTGATTTTGTTTATTTTCTGCTGGTAATGGTCCAAATATCTAAGGTTGAAGATTTGATATCAAATGTATGTCGACAATTTCTGCTATTTACTCGTCCATTATGCAGAAAAATGTTATATGTTTCGGTTAGAATAGCATTAACAGAATTTTTGCCTTTGATGCCACATGACCACTTGACTTTGATGTCTCATGACCACTTGACTCGACATTTTCAGTGTAAATCTTTTTAACACTTAACAATAATTGTCCCTGGTACTTATATGTATAACTTGCATTACTGTTTAAACCCCCCCCCCCCCCCCCCGATATAACCAGCACGAACACGGGTCGCCATTTAATGCCGATACTCATGACAATAAGGCAGTCAGGTGTAACGAATCTGGAGAGTATATCCTAGTGTTCAAACATCGTAGATAATGACAACTTCATATAACTTAGTATATAATAATACCGTAGACCGTAAAGATTAATCGTCCTTTCTTAAGTATTGAGAGACAATTAATACAATATATCCAATCATGTAAAATGTTTTTTGATGTTTAACTTATATCAGGAAGTAAGTCATGAGTTATAAATGTGAAATAGAAATATTTTTTACACAAAAATATACTCAATCGTATGAAGCCGATGCAACGGGAACGTTTAAATAACTGTTATGGTTTTAAATTCTATTTTGATTTTAAGTGGAAGATGAAAATATAGATTAAGAATAAAGTGCACGAGAATATATAGACATATAAAGATTATATTATATTAGGAGAGGCGAGAAAAATCATTTCCGTATTATTATAGTCCAAACCAAAACAAACAATTACCACAGGAGATTATTTTAGTACTTATGTTAGTTATCTTCATAAACATTTTCTTATTTTTTTTTTAATAATTTCCATAAGTGTCAGGTTCTCCTCACTTCGCTCAACCAAGAACAGGAAACGAGGCTTCAGTAGAATGTAGAATGAATTGTGTTGAAGTGTTTGAGTATCAAGGAAGGATTGTTGACGTTTTACATACCAGATATTGCTTGTCAACTGTACAAAATACCTAATTAAGAAAAAGAACCTGGATGTTCACATATATACTTTTTACAACAGGGTGATGAAGCAACATAAGCAGAGATCGATAGTAAGGCTTCAGTGTTTCATATTGCACTCTGACATACAAACAGTTTGCAATATTGAGTATAAATGATATTTTGATTTGATCCACGTATGCGCACTATTAGGTATATATAAGGAAGTTTTCGAGGATTCATAAATCACGAATATTAATAATTTTTAGATTCTGGGCATTTATAGTAGTGGTAAGTAGAATTATTCTGCAATTTATACTCATAGAAAATACGGTGTGTGCCTTTTCGTTCAAAAATTAGCGTTGTTTTAATGCCTTTATATGACTTTTTTTAAAAATTAAAAGTAACAATTTCATTTAACATTATACACACGTCGTAATTATTTATAAGATCCTAATATTTAGACACACTATAGTATATGTGTAATGAAAAGATTCTAATATTCGGTAGTATATTATAGAGGAATGTTTTTGTTGTTCTGATAGAATCAATCATATCTTCATGAAAGATTTAAGCCATTAAGTTTTTCATTAAATTTTTCCGCTATCGCACGATCATGACAAGGAGCACACGGCGAGTGCAACCGGTCAGCAGGGGATACTCAGTCCTCCATGACACCTGATCCCACCTCTGATGTTTTGAAGGTCCGTGTTTGCTCTGCTCCTTTGTTGTATCGTCTAATGGACTTTGATATTGAATACTGTCGGCTATCTCCATATCCTCCCTACTATCATTTTTTTTCTAGTTAATATCAAAATATGAAACCAATATGTCAGCATTTGTGGTTTCTTTTCTTTCAAGCTCAGTAGAATTCATCGAATCGACATAATGGAATGAAAGTTATTATTATTCTGATATTTATGTTCCCCAAACGGAGTTTGGGAACATATTGTTTTTACTCTGTTTCTTATTATGTTCCCCAAACGAAGTTGGGGAACATATTGTTTTTACTCTGTTTCTTATTATTATGTTCCCCAAACGAAGTTGGGGAACATATTGTTTTTACTCTGTTTCTTATTATTATTATTATTTTTCTTCTTCCTGGGAAAATTTTGTCCACGAGTGATCTTGTAAACTACACATCCGACTAAGGTAAAATGTTTTTAGGGTCAGTAGACATGTTATGTAGAATTGCCGAACGAGGGTCATTTTGCGCGCACGTGCTTGCAAGAGCGCGCACGTGCAACACGTGAAATGACCAATATAATGGATATTGCTGTAACTTTTCTTTTTCTTGATGATTTTTTTTGAAACTCATAATGTAAGGATACATTAGTAGTATAGACAAGATGACATGGTCAAAATAGCAAGATCTCACGCGCATGCACGTGCACTTCGCTCTGATTGGCTGAAACAAAAGTCTCAATAACTTTCTTGTTTCTGGTCATAATCTTTTGAAATTTTGGACATAGTCCTACATTATAAAGATCTACAGCATGATTTATAAAAATTTTCATGAAAGCATGCGCATGCGTGCGTGCTGCAATCTGATTAGCTGAAACTTTAAATGGCTATATCTCCTTTGTTTTTTGACGAAATGCTTTGAAATTTAAAAACAGTCATGCGTTAAGATATCCTAAAATATGATATAGAAAAAAATTCATGAAATCACGCGCATGCACGTGTGCTGCAATCTGATTGGCTGAAACTTTATATAGCTATATTTCCTTTGTTTTTTGACGAAATGTTTGGAATTTTAAAATATATTCATTTGTTTAGATATCCTTCAATACGATAAATCGTATAAATCGATAATTATGAAATCACGCGCATGCATGTATGCTGTAATCTGATTGGCTGAAACTTCAAATGGCTATAACTCCCTTGTTTTTCAACCAAACAGGATCGGATTTAGAGAATAGATAAATATAAGGGACTCCTACAAGAAGGTGTAGTCATTATGGACGTGCTTGCACGTTAAATGAGTAAAATTAAAAATACACTCGAAAGAGTGAATTTTTTAGTACTTTTGGATTAAATGCTTTGATATTAAGTATATTAAAATTTGAGACAGTGTAGACAAGATAATATGGTTGTTACGCACAAGAACACGTTTGCAATGCCTATTTTTAAATATATTTTGTATTTTTCTGGGAAGACCTTGATTAAGTCTAAATTCCATAAAGTATTTCTTATCTAATAGAGATTACAGGCCTAGGAATATGGCACCAAAAGGGAGTTGGGGAGCGTTTGGGGAACATCTGTAACGGTCCCCGTTACAATTAGCACTAGTTATTATTATTATTATGTTCCCCAAACGAAGTTGGGGAACATATTGTTTTTACTCTGTTTCTTATTATTATTTTTCTTTTTTCTTCTTATTTCTTCTCCGGTACTTTTTTGTCCGGAAGTGTTCTCAGAAACTGTTCACCAAACTAAGTCAAAACCTTTTTAGGGTTAGTAGGCATGTTGTGTAGATGTGCTGAACGAAGGTCATTTTGCGTGCATTCGCATGCACGTGCGGGCGCGTGCAATGAGTAAAATGACTGATATATTTAATATGGTTGTAACTTTTAAATTTTTTGATAAAATGTTTTGAAAATCATTATATAAAGATATATAAGATGTGTAAATAAGATGACATGGTCAAATTTGCATGAACTCACGCGCATGCACGTGCGCTTTGCTCTGATTGGCTGAAACAGAAATCTTAATATCTTTTTTTGTTTTATGATGAAATGCTTTGAAATTTATAACATAGACATGCATTAGGATGTACTACAATATGATATATAAAATTTTTCATCAAATCACGCGCATGCACGTGCGCTGCAATCTGATTGGCTGAAACTTTAAATGACTATAACTCCCTTGGTTTCCAACCAAACAGCATGAGATTTAGAACATAGATAGACATAAAGAACTCCTACAAGATGGTATGGTCACCATTCACATGCATGCACGTGCGTGCACATGTGCTTTGCTCTGATTGGCTGAAACAAAAATCTCAATATCTTTTCTGTTTTTTTACAAAATACTTTGAAATTTAAAACATAGGCATACTTTAAGATGTCCTACAATATAATATATAATAATTGTCATGAAAACACACGCATGCACGTGCGCTGCAATCTGATTGGCTTAAACTTTAAATGGCTATAACTCCCTTGTTTTTCAACCAAAAAGGATGGGATTAAGAACATAGACAGACATAATGGACACCTACTACAAGGTATGGTCATCATGCACGTGCGTGCACGTGCAATGAGTAAAAAGTGTAGACAAGATGATATCGTCATTACGCTCATGCAATTACATGCGCACGC